TCATTAATTCTCAATAAGTTAATATATTTTGAATTTTTTAAAATTTTTCCTAGTTTTTTTGATTTATAATATTCTGACTACTTTATTACTTTCATTTGTTCAAGTGTTTTTTTAGTACAAATATTTAAATATTATTATTGTTATTATTTACAGCAAACATTTAAGTTCTTCAGCTTTTTTTGGTGTAGCGGAATATGGATTGGCTATTGTGAAAATGTGTTCCCAAAGAAAAATAAATAAATATAACTTTCAAAATATTTTAACACATTTGAAATTATTTTTTTTATAACACCCCCTATGCCATATGCAACACTTTTTGTTCATCCATAATTCGCTCTTCAAATCAGCTGACAGCGCGGTTTCCTTTAAAGCCCCAGTCCCCGTTGCCCAGCCAGCTATTAAATTCAATTATTGCCTCCGAACAATATTGAATCAAAAGTAGAAAGAGAGTCTGGCAGAGAGAGAGCGATGAGTGCTCTAGAGCAGCAAAAGGAAAACTTAAGACCTTCTGCACAGCTGTCGTGTAAATATTTAATTTACGAAATTCCATAATAAAATTTTCCTTCTGGGTTGCGTTTGGCTGCTGCTGTTGCTGCTGCTCCTTTAAGGCAGCTGGGTTTTCATTTCGCATGCCAATTGTTTGGCAAGTGTCAAAATAATAACAAGCCACCCCCAGTAGTCCAATCCTGAACTCGACCTCAGGCCCAACCCCCCCAATCCAACTCGCACCCAGCCCCTTGGGTGCATACCAATGCCAAGTGTCAAAATATTTCGGCAATTTTTTTATGTTAATTTCGTATTAATAAAATAAATATTAAATCAGAGCGAGGCGAGGGATGTAGATGAGGGTGACAAATGACAAATGTCGGGGGCACAACGACGACTATATTAGAGACCAAAACCACTAATTTATCCCCAGAGAAAGTGCGGGGAGTGGAAAGAGTGGCAGTAGCCGTAGCAGTCTTGGCTGGCAGCTGTTGCCCTCCATTGAACCCACCCTTACCAGCAGGGGGGTTGGCTTTGATTGGAGCATTTTGCTGTGCAGGCTTTGCCTCAATTTAAATTTCATAAACTTAAAGATCCCTTAGCCAATTTTGCTATTTGGTTGCGTTATATTATTAAATTCTTACACTCTCGAGTCGTTGATTTTGATGGGCTCTGCGGCATTTTCTTTTATAATTGTTATGGCTCGAACCGAGCTGCTAACCCCTTTGGCATTGGCATTGGCATCGGTGGCATCGGTGGCAGCGGCTGCTTAGCGGCTCATTAGCCAGAGTTTTATGTCTCAGGCCATAATTTGTAGGCGCTGGATGGTAGTAAAAGTTTTTTGGCCATAAACAGCAGCAAGAGGCATAAGGAAAAGATGATTTTCGAGGCTGCGCCATAAAACGCTGTTTCCGTTTCCGTCGGTGTTTTGAGCATAAAATTTCGAGTCTAGGGAATAAAGGTAGGAACATAATTGCAGCTATTTTCGATATAAATTTAATATAATTGGAACGGTCGATTGGGATGGGAAATGACACCGGACCATAGCCGCAGGGCACAGGTAATACGAAACCTATTAGAAATACGTTGAAAACTCTTTAAAAGTTTTGCAGTTGCTAAATTTCTATTGCCTTAAGAAATGTTGGAAAATGATTGAAAATATATTTCGTATTCAAAATATTCTCTGGGGAAACCCTAAACAGGTACACAACTTCCATGGTTCCCAATCCCATTACGACCTGGGGCCAAATTGTTTTCCTGTTTGCATAGTTTTTTACCTCCCATGGACCCCCTGTCCCTGTGCAACTCTATGTACTCGCTGATCCCTGGAATGTGCAACATCGTGTGTCTGCAACGGGAAGCTACTTGTTGGGTTAATGACATCGTAAAAATAGCTGCAGCTGCTGCTGTTGCTGCTGCTGCTGCAGATGCTGTATGCCGTGCGAAAACTGACACTGTTCCTCCAGCAGGGGCCATAATAATTAAGCCCTTTGCCTTCCCTTTTTGTGTCTGTGTCTCGTTTTTGGCTCTAAATAGTTCCAACTGAAATTTGTAGCATTCCCCAAGAGAGTTTTCAAGTAAGCAAATTGCTTGAAAATGGCCTCTAACTGCAGTCCAAAATACTTGATGGTCTTACAGCAGTAAGGAAGGACGTAATGAGGCTGCTATTAGGTACTGCTGGGTATTCATTTACTAAGAAAATTTCAACACCAGCAAATCTTCAAAACTTTCAGCCCATTCGGAGCATAAACCTCTCTATTTTCTGTAGAGAAAATCCCCCAATGTGTAGGCCTTGATTCTAAGTTTTCCCAAGAGAAACACGTACTTCCTCTATTTCGAATCGAAAAAGTTCAGTTGTAATTTTTATCTCGAACCGTCAACACCTTTTCCCTGTACCTAACGGATTTGAAAGTTTCGGTATAAAAATTTACAAACAACACAAAATTTTCAAATAAAATATTTTCGGTTTGTGTTCCTAAATCCGTGAAGCTTTTTTTGCTGGTCAAAACTGTTTCGATCCAAGAGAAACTTTCGTATTCCGTGTGAGAGCGCAACAAAGAAGAAATCATGTGCGGCGGCTATGGTTGTGGCAGCTACGGGTATGGACCCTCTGGTCCATGTGGTGCCTGGTGCGGGTCGTATTGCGGACCCTCATGTGGACCATCGTGTGGTCCCTGCGGCTATGCGGGAGGTTGCTGTGGGTCGCGCGGTTGCGGCCCAAGCGGACCGGCCTGTTGGCCATACGGGCTGTATACTTGCTGAGCTTCAGAAGGATTTCAGGAACCAATGAGAAGAGACCATCAAGGATCCATCCACACTTGTTAAACGAGGAGGTGAGCACGAAACAAAGAACACGTCGACGTCGTCGGCGCGGGCACGGGCACGGGCACGGGCGCGTTGCCAATAAAAATTTCAGCTCAATGGGTTGGGGGCGCAATTCAATAACTCGTCCTGGGACACAAAGGAGCTCGATGGACGGGGATAGGTGGGTGGCTAGAACCTTCTCCTCTGCCTTCGATTGTAAACAAAACTCTAATTTGAATTCTTCTTTTGGAGGGGTGGGGCCAGCCGCATCAGATGTGCAAAGCGAAAAGCGGATTTCATTACAGCGTAGAGGCCTTTGGTTACCGTTGCCAACCAAAGAAAACACAGGTGTAAAAAGGGGCTCCAACGAAGCTTTCACTCCCTCCCTCTCTCTCTATCACTCTCTCTCTCTCTCTCACTCTCTCGCTCTATGTGTGGGAGTTTTATTACGAAATTTTCTGGTGCTTTGTGTTCATTGTTTATTTGGTGAATGAAAGAGCGGCAGTAAGGACCCGCAATCAGGGCCTCCTGCAGTGCATTTGGAATTGAGGCACACACGCACCCCCTACTGAGAGTCTGGCTAAATGCTCTATAACAAAAATTTGCCATGTGGCACAGCTTGAATTGTGTTTGTGTGTATGGCACTCAAATCTCATAAAGCTAAATATTAGAGTCATAAACACATATTAATCATATGAATTTCGCTCTTTTTCATTGCAGGTTGGTGTTGTCTAAGCTACGACTATATTTTTTGGATGAACTGAAAATTGGATGGGAAAGGGAAAACATCTCATTAAAAAAGAAAAAAAACTGGAGGCTATTGACATAAAAACATGTTGTCTATTGCTGCTCGCGGGTGTTCCAACCTAAAAGCATGAGCAAAATTTGTCCCCTAAGCCTTTAGTGCCTCCCAAAGTCTTAACATGTCTGTACGCCTAAGCCACTAAACAAGCCAAGAGGCAGAGACAGGCAGAGCGAGAGAAAGTAAGCCTCGCACCTTCACATGAAGCGAGAAACTCCTGCTTGTAGCTGTAGCTGTAGCTGTGTACCCCCTCCTTGGGAAAAGCCATTGCCAAACATGTCTCGGAAAATGGCTGGCGGCTAAAAAGTCTGCGTTTACTTTTTGGTCGCCTATGCGAAACTGAAAGTCATGCGTTTTCCGCGCTTTCCGGGTGCCAGCGTGTTGATTTTACTTTTCAGCCTCTCTCTGCTTTCGCTGTTCACATTTCTGTTCTTTTAAGGGAAAAAGTGGAAGTGGAAGTGGAAATGGGATAGAGACTTGTGTGGGGTGGGGGATGGTGTAAGGCTTAGGGGTTAGGGGTTGTTGGGTGGCTGGGAGGCAGCTATTTTGCCAGCAATGTCATGCTGTGTCACGTTATTTATTTTTGCTGTAATTTTTGAGCCTGCTCCTCCAACCCGTTCCCCTGCTCCGTGCTGTTCCTCTTCTGTTTTTCTTTGCCACAAACTTGACGTCTTTAAATTAACATAAAAGAAACGTTAGGCTTTTCGATGGCGCTGTCGTGAGTTTGGGTCTGGGTGTGGGCGTGGCATATGTGCCCATTCCGTTTAATTATTTTGTTAAGCAGTTGTCACACAGGCGGCAGCGCCCGAGGGCCTTAAGCAGACACTTTATGGCCAGGGCCAAAAACTTCGTTGACTAAGCCGATAATACGGCAGCGAGGAGTCCTGGGTCCAAAAACTAACCCCAAAAACACTGGGGGCCAGCGAACAGCGGCGGCCCTGTGGAGCCGCCCGCCCGCCTCGATAAGCCTTAAAGCGCATTGTGGTCAGTTTTTCGGTGGCCAGATCTCTTTTATTTCTGTTTGCCCTTCTGCGTTTTGTGGCCCAAAATCCTGTTATGGCCTAATCTGGAGGGTTGAAGAGAGTACTACGGCGAGGACGAGGACGAGACGAGGGCGAGGGGTCACGCGTCTCTAAGCCAAATACCTTAAATACTTTTTGACGTTTTCACATGTGACTGGAACCAAAATATGTCGCACCCTTGGTCAACGGGGTTTCTCCCTTAAGTGGGTCGTAATTCGTTTTTGGCCACACATTGGGGTCTTTAGGGGGGTAATAATGTGACCCATACCCTGCCTCCATCAGTGTGTGTGAGTGCGACAAAACTTATTGGCTCGAGAACAGATGTGTGATGGCTCCTTCTTGAGTTCTAAAATCCTCAAATGGATACAAAAAACAAGCAGAGATTATTGTACATTTTTGTAGCTTTGCATACTCGTTTATTTGACTATATTATAGGCTTGGATAGAATCGATTAGACATAGTATATCAAGGTGGGGTTAGGTGGTGCTGCTCGATTGTTATGGGCTATCGTGATCGTGATCGTTATCGTTATCGTCTACGCCAGGTCTAGGCCGAGGGCTGCACACAGCGCGTGTTCTCGGGCAGATCGCAGATGCCCTTCAGGGCGTTGAAATACTTGTCGCCGCAGCTCACCTGCAGGGGCTTGCCGTAGCGGCAGATGTAGTAGTCGTTGCAGCTCTTCAGGGAGGCCATCATGAAGCCGTCGGGCTTGTTACGGCACACGTAGTGAGTGTAGGTGAAGATGTTCAGCTCCTGGGCTTGAGGCGCGACCTGCTGCTGCATTGCCTCCATAAGTAATCCGGCGGGACGGGTAGGACGAGGGGGTCTCACTTGCATGGAGGCGGGCTTGACCTTGACAGCTGCGCTGGCTCCGCTGCATGTAGTCGTAGTCTCCCCACAGACTGTAGTAGTCTCATCACATGATGTGGTGGTCTCTGTCGAACATGTAGTCGTAGTCTCCCCACAGACTGTAGTAGTCTCATCACAGGATGTGGTGGTCTCTGGCGAACATGTTGTGGTTGTCGTTGTCGAACATGTCGTTGTCGAACATGTCGTTGTCGAACATGTCGTTGATGTCGTTGTCGTTGTCGAACATGATGTCGTTGTTGTCGGTGTTGTTTTCGAACATGTCGTTGTTGTCGTTGTCGAACATGTCGTTGTCGAACATGTCGTTGTCGAACATGTCGTTGTTGTCGGTGTTGTTGTGGGTGTTGTTGTCGGTGTTGTTGTCGGTGTTGTTTTCGAACATGTCGTTGTCGAACATGTCGTTGTCGAACATGTCGTTGTTGTCGGTGTCGTTGTCGGTGTTGTTGTCGGTGTTGTTGTCGTTGTCGAGCATGTCGTTGTCGAACATGTCGTTGTTGTCGGTGTTGTTGTCGGTGTTGTTGTGGGTGTTGTTGTCGGTGTTGTTTTCGAACATGTCGTTGTCGAACATGTCGTTGTCGAACATGTCGTTGTTGTCGGTGTTGTTGTCGGTGTTGTTGTGGGTGTTGTTGTCGGTGTTGTTGTCGGTGTTGTTTTCGAACATGTCGTTGTCGAACATGTCGTTGTCGAACATGTCGTTGTTGTCGGTGTTGTTGTCGGTGTTGTTGTCGGTGTTGTTGTCGGTGTTGTTGTCGGTGTTGTTGTCTGTGTTGTTGTCGGTGTTGTTGTCGGTGTTGTTGTCGGTGTTGTTTTCGAACATGTCGTTGTCGAACATGTCGTTGTTGTCGGTGTTGTTGTCGGTGTTGTTGTCGGTGTTGTTGTCGTTGTCGAGCATGTCGTTGTCGAACATGTCGTTGTCGAACATGTCGTTGTTGTCGGTGTTGTTGTCGTTGTCGAACATGTCGTTGTCGAACATGTCGTTGTCGAACATGTCGTTGTTGTCGGTGTTGTTGTCGGTGTTGTTGTCGGTGTTGTTGTCGGTGTTGTTGTCGGTGTTGTTGTCGGTGTTGTTTTCGAACATGTCGTTGTTGTCGGTGTTGTTGTCGGTGTTGTTGTCGGTGTTGTTTTCGAACATGTCGTTGTCGAACATGTCGTTGTCGAACATGTCGTTGTTGTCGGTGTTGTTGTCGTTGTCGAACATGTCGTTGTCGAACATGTCGTTGTCGAACATGTCGTTGTCGAACATGTCGTTGTCGAACAAGTTGTTGGTGCAGACGGTGTGGTAACACAGGGTGATACGGTGGTCGTCGGACAGGGTGTCGGTGTGCAGGCAGAATCAACATCTTCTGTGACCAACGCCGATGACTGTACTGCAATGCATCCAGTGTTGTAGTTGACACATCCCTGGACCTTGGCGTCGAAAAAGCGGGAGCAGGTGCTTACCAGCGCCTGTCCTCCCTGACACTCGTAGTACTGAGAGCAGCTTCCCGGCACAAGAGCCCTGAAGCCGTCCGACTTGTCGACGCACACATAGCGACGATACAGCTGATTATTAATGGAGGTTGGCACGCCGGGCACACTAGCGGCACTGATACTGGCCACCAGCAAGGCGGCACAGGCAATTACTGCAATGGGGGGGGATATGGGTTAGGTTAGTCCTTGCTGTTTGACAGACAATAGTCCAAGATTCATACCGAATATGCTCTTCATTCTCAGATGGCAGCTATTCCTTTTGATTGCGGGTTCTATTCTCCTTGACAAGCTTGCGTACAAAGAGCTGTACTGGAATGGCAGTTTCGCAAGTGCCGCTGCCTTTTATACAGTGGCCCCCGCACGGAAGATACGTATCTTTACAATGCCCAAGTGACCCTTATCGATGGTCTGACATGTAGATGGAGGTTTGATATCTGTGCGTCTTGCGACGACAACCTTGATTTTGAAAGCTCGCGGTGGCGAGGGGGAATGGGATGCTGCTTTGATGCCGTGCGTTATCACCTCACGAATGTCATATGGCCTAAACTTTTCAATTTCAATAATTATTTCGCACGAATCGGTGCCAGGAACAGGCATGACACATCTCTCTGCATCTACAACGTGCTATTAATTAAGAGTTTTCGACTATCATCATTCGATATTTGACACTCGGCAACGGACATCCGACATTCAACATTCCAGCTCCGAGGATATTCTCTCTACCTCATCGCAAATACAAGCCCAGCCTCCCTCCCATTCTCATTCTCCTCCACTCCGTCCGGGTGTGTGTGTGTGTGTGTCCGTGCGGTCAGGGCCTGGTGACGTTAATTTATCAAAGGAATTTACAATTGTTTAATTAATTAGATGCATGCCGCATACGCACAAAGACAGCGGCTAGAGAGTTGAGAGTAAAGACATAGCCAGCATGCCAGACAACAAATGAGCAGGAGGCAGCAGCCATGATTTGAATTGCACATATTTGCCGTCTATGTCATGGCCCGAGTCCAGTAGTCCTTTTCAATCGTGTCTAAATAGATGTAAATGGGTGTTTGGTTTGGCAAGGACAAACCTGGGTTGCTTTCTACCATGATGTTAGTCCACCATTAACGGCTGATCATTCGATGAAATAAAGCTCTGCTATCGATTATTCATTCTTTGTATTTAATTTCCCTTCCACTTACACTACCCGACACGATTTTTCCTCAAGGAACAAAACCAACTTTTTCTTAAAGATTTGGGGCTTAGAAATGGTTTGATGATATTTTTTTTTCTATGGCAGAACTTTTTTTTTAAGAATTTTTGAAAACTGGTATTTTTGTAAATACCATTTTTGTGTTGTAAAGAACTTTGCTATTTTGAAAAGATAATTAAAACAGCTGGAAGTTAAGCCCAAACACTTTGTGATTTCAGCTTACCGTCTGGGAAATATAAAGCATTGAAATGCAAAAATTATGATTTTTGTGCGGTATTTTTTACGAAATTTTGACTTTAAAAACTCAGGAAAAGTCGAAAAAAAAATTATATCCTGTGTCCTAAAAGTCCATTTCCTGTCGCGTTTACCTAATCATAATTCAATTAAACCAAATTAGAAATACCTGAGATATGGGATTTCATTCCTTAACCCATACAACAATCAGTAATTTTTAGTCTTTTCAGTCAATTCTAAGGATATACAAACTTTTTTATTTGGTGTTATGTTGCTACAAGTTTTTAAACATAAGTGATACATTTGGTTTGCTAATGCTTGTTAACATTTTTTTAAATAATTTAAGTTTTCTGGCTGTCTTCCTTTTGTATTCGAACCAGATTCTCTTATGAGATTCCACACATAGTCGCCCATCATGTTCTCATTCCAAACACCTTGATAACGTTGTTCCATAGATTTAAATTGTTGATGAACGATGATTGCGACTAACGTCGCCTAGGTTTGTCGGAAAAAAGTCCAAGTGGGAGTGCAGGAAATGGACTTTTAGGACACAGGATATAATGTTTTTTTCGACTTTTCCTCAGTTTTTAAAGTCAAAATTTCGTAAAAAATACCGCACAAAAATCATAATTTTTGCATTTCAATGCTTTATATTTCCCATACGATAAGCTGAATTGGCTTAACTTCTAGCTGTTTTAATTATCTTTCCAAAATAGCAAAGTTCTTTACAACCAGAGGTAAGATACTAGAGTTATGTGAAAAAAACAAGCGCTACCTCTGAAAAAAGCTTTAAAAAAAATAACAGTCTTCAAAAATCATTTAAAAAAAATTTCTGCCATAGGAAAAAAAAAATCATTAAACCATTTCTAAGCCCCAAATCTTTAAGAAAAAGTTGGTTTTGTTCCTTGAGGAAAAATCTTGTCGGGTAGTGTTATCATTTAGTGGGGGGCTGCCCAAAAACTACCAAAATGCTACTCACACCCCGATAAAATGTCACGAACGTGTTGCAAACATGTGTTTTTTTTTTCCTGCTGAATGGTTTCCCCCTCGATAACGATCAATAGAGCAGCATGTGGTGGTGGTGCGGATCGTGCGGGCGCTCGTCAAATGCTTACTATGTAATTACAATCAAATCGATAAGAAATCAAGTCAAGTACAGGTCGTGGTCGTGGTCGTTGTCGTGTTCGGAAGTTGTACTCAAAAAAGTTCGTGCGTGCAAATCGCCTGTACAATCATTTTTCATGTCACATCAAAAACAATTACCAAAGTCGAGACTTGAGACGGAAATTTCTCATACGAGTATGCCCAGCAATAATTTGTTGCCTCTCTTTTTTTTTCATTTTTGCATGCAATTTTCAAACATTTACTTTATAAGAAATTGTAAACAATTATTTTCTGTGTTAGAAGTAAAATAAATTAAAATTCCCAGGAAAAGGTGAGAGTTTTTTACGGCTAAAATAATATACAATTTCTTAGAATCTGTGTGGAGTCTTTTTCGTAGCAAAATACTCCAAATGTGTTGTCTGATAGCAAGAACGGAGTTCCTGTTGTTATTTCCGTTCAGAATAATGCAATTAGCAGTCTCCAAATATATGATAAAAGTCGTTAGTTTATTTAGTTCAAGTATTTTGTAGGTCTCTATTAACCTTTTACAAATTCTATTCGAGGTATTTCCCAGCCGCTTAATCATATAATAACCATCTAATTTTATCCAACGAATATCTGAACCATGAACATTAATTTCAAATTAGAATTCAATTTGGTCAAAACGAACATTAGGAGCGGCGGTCAGGGGACACAAACCAAAATCCAAAAAAATATCCACACAGCAGCCAATGTTGTTGCTTGTTAAGCCATAAAATGTGTCTGTCTATTACCGGCAATTACATTAAAATCTCGACTACCCGACAACAACACCAGAAAATCTTTATAATAAAACATTTCAACGAAATTGAATTGAAATTTTGTTGGGTTTATTTTTTCATTTTTTTTTTTTGCCAGCTAGCAACCCTTTCATAGAAAGGTGGCTAGAAAGAGTCATGGCTGAGTGTCGTAATGGTTTAATGGGGTGGAGGTAGAGTGGACCCAACATTTTGGGTCAGCACCGCCTGCAGCGCATTAAGAGAAAGTTGCTGCCTTAAAAAGGGGGCGGCTCTGTAAAGGATACAAAAATCAATAGTTCAGTAGTTGAAAATTTAAATTTCTATGCAGCAAACAAAAAAAGAGACAAACAAATTTTAAATGTTTCATGTTTTGTTTCGAGCAGAGATTATTTATGCGACTTTATTTTACAGTTGACTTGAGGCAGACGAAAAATGCCAAAGAGCAACAAAAACAAAAGGAAGAAATGAAAGCAAAAAAGAAATCACTTAACCCTTGAGCAACCCCGACACATACGAAATTGACTTGAATTATCGAATTTCGTATCGGTCCCTGGTCTGGCTCTGGCTATGGCTATGGCTATGGCGACCCTTTTATCCAACTTGAACTCGAGTTCAGTCGGCGGAATGGCGGGCACACACACACACACACACACACATGGGGGCAGAATCAAACGGAATATAAATCAGTTTAATGATTTCTCTGCCAGCAAAAACAAAGCAGAAAAAAAACGTGGAATAGAAAAAGAGCGGGAGAGTGGGAGAGCCGAGGGGGAATTTCTTGTGTGTTTGCACTCCGCTTGGCGCCCGGAAACGGAAGCAGCGCCAGAGTGTGTGTGTGTGTGTGTGCGAACAAAAAAAAAAAAAGATGGCTATACTCTGAGAGGGGGAACTTTAAACGGTTTCTTGTACTTTAACTATCCCTGTGTCCTGCTGTCCTGCCCTGTGTCCTTTGTGCAGCGGAATCACCTTGTCGCAATGGCGGGGCGTACTCTGCGGAACATTGCCTTACACTTTGCAATTTCCTCACAGCGCAACAAGTGAGAGGGAAAGGCCCTGCTGAAGCCTCGACTATTTGATGGCCTGTAACTAGGAATATTCTTTAGGAGAATCTCTGTAAGGAGAGTGCTCTTGGTGGACAGAGTCTCCTGCCTTGATGAATCCATGTAGGAAATAATATTTTACGGGACATGTAGGTCTCCGCTCCCGATTCTTGGTCCAATATGCTCCGCTTGTATTGGTTGTGGGCATAAAAAGTAATCTAGCTTGTCCTTTTGCCACAGCATCGTCATCGTCATCCTCGTCATCGTCGTCGTTCTGGCGTGACCCCATTTCCCCTCAAATTAAGTTCAATCGAATTGCCTGCTACTCTGCCACAGTTTCCAATCAAAGTCTTTCAGCATGAGGCATGAGGCCAGCAAACGGAAGCTGCGAGATATGAAAAGGGAAGCGAATCGAATTAAGTCGGCAGCTGCTTATTGATTTTCATAAATGAAATGCAGCAACATGGATTGCTTGGATAAAACACACCACAGCACACCACAGCACAGCACAGCACACCACTTACCCATTCTGCTTTTAGGAGTCTCTGATGTCGAAGCTGATGCTGGGATGCTTTGGGTACTTGGAATTGTTATTCCGCATGCATTAACCGTTGCTGCTCTGCTGCTGCTGCTGCTGCTGCTGCTCGTCCCAGCCAGGTACAAACTTGCTGATAAATAATTTACAAGGAGACAAACTTTGGAAAGCTGCACGAAGACTGCGCTGAGAATCACTGACAATATAGAGAGCAGAGGAGAGCAGAGCAGAGCGGCCAGAATGGCCGGAAGGCATGAAGCAGTTTTGTCGCAACGCTAAAATAAATTCACTTGCATGCCAAGTACATTTACACACACACACACACAGGGATACAGGGGATACAAAGGATGCAGGATATAGTTACTCACACACACACACACACACAAGAGTATCCTCAGTCGACTGGCTACGCGACGATTCAGTGGAGTGCAAAGGGCCATTGGCTG